GACACTCAGATCTGCTGAAGTTAAACCTCACATGGGGCTATGCTGCACAGCACAATTAGGTGGCCAACTTAGGCATCCTCCACATGATGCTTGTTTTTTGTTCTGCAAAATGCAAGAAATATGGGTTCATAGAGGTTTCCATGGAGATTCAAAGGATCTCCTGGGTGGTCAAGCAGTGTACAGTAAGGACAGAATCTCTACAAACAGCCTTTGAGAGGGCAAGGTGTGAAGTTGTGAGAATGAATGCAAGCTGCCAAGGAGACTACCAGAGGTGGTTGCCAGAAAGTTGGACAATATGAAGAGAGAAGGCCACAGGGTGTGAGCAAGCCAACCCAAGAGCAGTCATTTTGGTTGCACCTGTCAAGGGACAGAAGTGTCTGAGTTCTTGGTGCTCAGATCACAGAACCAATGGACCTGATGCCAAAGATTTCATTGTTTGCCATGCTTACTTTTGTTCTTCCTTTGGTCTGATTTCTCCTTACTGTTTCCTTTTCTTCCCTTTTGGAATGAAAACATTACCCTTCAACAACTATATCTTGAAATGGCTAACTTTTTTTCCCTAGGGATTCACCATTAACAGTTTGGCAAACCAAACTCAGAGTCTCAGAGGAGACTGTCAACTTTTAGCAACTCTGGGACTGTTAAGATAATGGGAATGGTTGCAGATGGAGTGAATGTATTTTCCATTGTGAGATGGACATGAACTTTTGAAGGCATGGATTCAGCACATTTCACATATATGGTAACACTGATTTGAGTAACACAAATATAGGCCAGATTTTAAATAATAGGATTGCTCAAATTGCAGGGTTTTTCTGAATGTAACTGATCACAAACAGCACAACTATCAAAAGTTTCATTAATTATTTTATATGCCAAAGGTTTTGATGTAATGATTTTGGGTAAAAGAGAGCTTTAGCTGGTCATTTTACATATATTAAACTGACACTTTTAATTTTGCAAATGTTTGTACACTATTTAGATAAAGTCTAGACACAGAACACAGTTATAAAGTGATCATTTAAGAGAACTTTAAATGAGGAAATATTTAAATGAACTCTGACTTAGTGAAGGTTTAGTTTAAGTATTTAACAGAAAACAGTAGTAATTATTTTGATAAAATCTTTCATTACAAGTTTCTTACAGATGTTACACAGAGCAGAACATTATTAACATAACCTTGTTGGTATGGACAAAGATATTCAGGTTCTAGTTCTACATGACCCTTGAAAATCTTTCAGGAGAACATAATAAAAGGCAATCTTAAACTGCTTGCCTGTACAGTAACTAACTTATGAAGACACCTTTGTTAACAGACCTAATTATGAAAGAATTCAATGTAAATTACACTTAAGACAAAAACAGATTAAGGCTCCTGTCCATAAAACAATACCTGTTTTTTTAAGTAGACCTGATTGACATAAAACTTTCAAAAACTGCTTTTCTTAAAAGTAGCACCAGAAAAGGCTTGGGGAGTGCTGGAGACAATAGAACAGAAGCCTTTCATTACATTCCATTACATCCTAAAGATGTTCAAACACATGTATAAGCAAAAAAGTCTAAAAAGCTAAAGTCTAAAAGGCTAAAAGCTATTAGGCTAGATATATCAATGTAAGCATGCATAGACACAAGAATTCAAGAAAATGTAAAAAAAAACAATAACTAAGTGGCCACAAGTGCATTGATCAGTTATTTGAAAAATTTTGAGGAACAGATTGGAATGTGTCCCATTCTGTTCATTTGGACTGTGTCTCATTCTGTTCTTTTGTACGGGCTTGATAGCTGAAGCAAGAGTCAATTCTAGGAAAGTGTTTTGAGTCAGTCTCAGTCTCCTATATGACTATTGTCATAGCTATCAGATTTTTGTCTAAATAGGTTAATCATACAATAGACATACACAAAATTCACATAACATCTATAAAACAATTACATTTATTCTGTGTGCACTCTAGTTATTAAAGGGTTTAGATTTACATCTAGATGGTGTTTTTAATAATGTCTAAAAATAGTTTACCTTGGGCTACAGTAGCTTTCTTATTAGCCAAACCTTTAAACTATGTTTAGAGACCCTAGTCTTGGTTGTAGGGTTTGCATCCCATATCCTCATCTGGACAAAGGATACGGGATGCACGTGTCCATGCTCTTAGTTTATACCAAAATCTGTTTTTAAATTTGAATTTGTATGACTGGCTGGGAAAGGAGGAGACTGTTGTGGTAAAAAGGATTATGTCTCCATTAAACTGGTGACATCTGGTTATCTTAGTAAGCATGGAAAAGGTAGAGATAAGAATCCAGATTCAAGTGATCAGAGGAATTTTGAACATGAAACAGATAGGACTGAAGCCAAGAGCCTGCAGTCTGCTGCCTCTCTGCTTCTGTCCCACCATCATTGCAGGAAACAATCAGTCCACCACCTCTGCTTCCATTTCCCTCCCATAGAGGAGTACCTAGTGGACAGAATCACCATAGGTTGTATGGGTTGATAAACAGAAGATCCAGATCCTTATATCCCACATGGATGCATCCAGGCAGGATATGTATACATAGTGAGGATGATAATAAGGGTTTATAAAAGGATAGGGAATAAGTTACGAGAGGCCATGGTGAGCCAGGTATGAGGCAGAGGACAGAGAGCTCTTCTTGTTTCCAGGTGCTTTTAAAACCTGTGCTAACCCATGGGAGAGGAGAAACTTGGGTGATTCTTGATCACCAAAAATCATTGAGTGGGGAAGACTTTGGGTGGTCCCTAGGCTAGGGTGCTGGTTTGATCTAAGACTTAATAATCTGCACATATTGCAATGAAATGGAAGATTCCGAGAGAGGGAGAAAAATGTTCAACCTGAAATATAATATTAAATCAGAAGAGTCCCTTTCTCTCCCTACTTTATCCTGTTATGGTACCATTAGTTAAACAATGCAAGTTCCAGCAAAATATTGGCATCCTCACCAGTGTTGCTAGTTTTCCCTCTGACATTCATAATTACTGGATACCAATTACATTGGCACCACTCTGGCTATAGCATTACAGGCCCTGAGATGTCCTCATAAATTTCCTTGCTACTTAAATTTTTCCTTTCCCAGAGGCTAGGCTTTGCCCCAGCACCTCACCTTTCTCTCCCTTATTATAAGATTGCCTGGAGACAGCAATAATCTCTTGGATCCAAGGCCCACGTGGGTGGGGCACGCATTTTTCCTTAATATTCAAGATGTCATTGCCTCTTCTAGCAGGAGCTCTTTGAGATAGAAATCTCATGTTGTGTACCATGGAATTTCCTGGACTGAAATCCCATGCCAGTAACCCTGGGGACCGTGGGGACAGCACAAGGATGAGTTGGGGTACAAAAGCATACATCAGTGGAGGCTCTAGAAATTTTTGCCAGGGCTGGCCTCCAACCATAATCCTTATGTCACTCTCTTGGGTGGGTAGGATTACAGGATTCAGCCACAGGGCAGGTGCAATGCATTTCAGTTTTAAACTAAGTATCATAGAATATGCTGGATTAATGACAGCAATATTTAATAAAGAAGCAGGATTCCACATGGCTATCACGTGGGTATGGACCAATCCTAAACCATCTCATCCTGGTCTCTTTTAGTAAAACCATCTGGGAAATGAAGCTTCCTTTGTCTTGTGAGATCTGCGCAGAGGCTTATGGGAAACGTAGTCTCACCTAGTCCTGTCACCAGTATCAGGAAGAGTGCAGCTCTTCCGGGTTTCTTCTGCGCAGGCGCTGCCTCGCCCCCCGCCAATTTCCGCCCGGAAGTTCCTGGAACTGCTGCCCTGCAGACGCTTTACCGCGGACTTTGAATTCCTCCACGGACTACCTGAAGGTCCGTGGGAGGGTGACACAGAAAGCGGCCACAGGAACTGTGGGGTTCAGGACCGGCGACTTGATGAGGTGTTGGCAGAACCGCAGGTGGTTGTCCCGCAGGTCCGTCACAAGTGGCGGGCGAATTCGAGCCGGGGCGGGAGGGAAAGTCGCAGTGGCTATGCGTGTGACTGTTAGGCTGAGTGTCTGCAGAGTGGCTGCGGCCAGGAAGTAGCACCTTGGAGCAAAGCCTTTCCTCACTTGGTCGTGTCACATCTAGTGGCGTCCTTGTGGCTAGAGCACGTCAAGTGGCACAGCGCAGATCGTTGTCTTGCAGGTAAATACAGGCGCCTCCTTGGAATTGTCATGGAATCACTGCCCCCAGGTTCCACGTACATTTGTTATGCATGAGCATAAGCAAAAATACTGAGTTGTTGCGTGCATGACTCCATGAAAAGAGGAGGAATTACGCGGGAATGGCTTCTGGAGTACCGTGGGCAGTACTTAGTTCCTCCTGTAGCCCAAGTGATTTTATTTTTTCCTTTTTTGGCAGTACTGGGGGTTGGATACGGGGGCTCGCAAACACTGCACCTTGAGCTTCACCCCCAACCCTTTTTGCTTTTAGTTTATTTTTCAGATTGGGTCTTTTTACCATAAGCTGTTGTTTGTTTTGTTTAGCGGTAGTGGGATTTGAACTCAGGGCCTTGAAGGAAGCAGCTTTACCACTCGTGCCATGCCCCAGACCGCAAATAGAGCTTGCTTTTGCCTGGGGAAAGCCTCAGACCATGATCTTTCTCCTGCCTCACCTTCTTGTGTAGCTGGGATTGAAGACATGTGCCCCCATATCCAGCCCCCAGGTGCATTTTCTGTTGACTAGTATGCTCTCTTTAAATTTTTTTTCACTTTTTCATTGTTGTGCTGTGAGCCCCAGGTGCATTTTTAGCAAAGAAATACTTTTTTTTAAGTAATTTATTTTAATGGGACTAGAATTTGACCTCAAGGCTCCATGCTTGCAGTAAATTCCTTCAAGAGGAAGGGGATCCAGTTTAACATACATGGTTCCTTTTTGTTCACACTAACAGGTATGTTTTCGCTGGAGACTTTGTTGCCTGTACAGGGGACTAGTCTCCTACAGACAGGTGTTTTTTTGTTGTTGTTGGTTTTTTTTTTTGTCTTTATTTCCTGCTAACATGTAGAGTTTTGAGCAGGAGAATCAGGACCAAACATTGCCTGTTGACTCATAAGTCTGGTCTTCTCTCAGCTGCACCTACAGAATGTGCTTGTAAGAGAAATAAAAAATGAACCAATTTCCGGTAAGTGGTTTGTTTATTCTTCACTTTGTTTTATATAGTATTTTATGAGCTTTGTGAAGTATGTAAATACAAATGGAATTGTAGAAATGAGGAAAACAGCTTCAGGGTCATGCACATAAATAAGATAGAGTTGGTATGTACACATAGGCAGGGTTTTCCTTTTTTTTTTTTTTTTTTTTTGTACTTGGGTTGGAACTCAGGGCCTCACACTTGTTAGAGTAAAACTATAACACGAGAGTCACTGCACCAGCCATAGGCAATGGTTAAGATGCTAAAAACATCTGTGTTAGTTACAAATTTGTCTTTGGACTTTTTTTGGTGGGGAATACGGTACTGAGGTTTGAACACCTTGAGCTTATTAGACATGTATTCTACCACTTGAGCCATGCCTCCACTCTTTTCCTGTATTTGTTTTCCAGGAAGGGTCTTGTGTTTTTGCCAGGGGCACCATAATCCTCCTACCTCTATCTCCTTTGTTGCTGGGATTATAGGAGTGACCCACCATACCCAGCTTGGTTTTTTAGATAATGCCTTGCTAACTTTTTTCCTCCTACTTGTCTTGAACCTCAATCTTCCAATCTGTAACTCCAGAGTATCTAGGGTTACAAGTATGTGCCACCATGCCTGGCAAATTTCTGGTCTTTCTGATGCCCTGACAAGGGGAAGACACATTTGATACATGATTTGAATGCTACCTGAGAAGAGAGCATGCTACCTTCTCATGGGACATACAAACATCACCATAGGCTAAAACATTACCTGCTTTCATAGATGGTGTAGTGAGTTTTTCGTGACCAACCTGGAAATAGCACTTCTAATATTCTGCAGTGGAAATGATTATATGGTGCTAATGAAATACTCCCTTAATAAATTTTTCTGGAGTTGCTAAAATAATGTGCACCCAGGCAGCTTTTGGAAGGCTATATTTGATTCATTGATAAACCTGGAATATCTCATGATCGAGTTGACCACATGTTGTTCAGTGACTCTGTACCTGTCTTTCAGCCCACAAGTACATGTGCACATAGTTCAAACTTTAATTTCCCAGCAGATCTTCTCACTGCTCATTTGTCCTTTAACCCACTCAGCATTGTCTTAGTTCAGCTATTCAGAAGCTCATTAATATTTTAAATGTAGTCCACATCCATCACTATTTACCATATTTGAAGGTACTTCTTGTGATGTGCTCGACATTCTTTGTAGTCCCTGTCATAGCCTTTCTCACGATGTCTTCTCTGTTGCCCTGAATTCTGCTTTTTCTGCTCCTTAACATAATTCTACCAAGTGCTCCATCATTGGCCCTGTTCCACTCACTCTGTGGTTCTGGATTGATCTAGCTATCAGTGGTTTATACTTTCTTACATACAGCATTGCAGCCATCCTGCCAGTGATCCAACCATCAAAAGTAGGATTTTTCCTGAACTTCTCCCTCTGTGTCAGGTCTAATCGCATCTGGTGTCAACTTATGCAACTTTTGTACATTCTTTTCTTTTGTCCTACTGTTTGCATACAGTGCATGGAGGGACAGGATGTGATCATGCTCATGAATAAACATGATTACTAGAGATATCATTCTTAGCATAACCCAAAGAGTGTGTTTGCACAGATCAGTGCCTCTAAACAGAACACGTGATGACATCCTCAGGAGTCTCCTAGAAGAAAGCATTCAGGAGTTAGGGGGACACATTTGAGAAAAGGTCAATGAAAAAAATATGCAAAGAAAAAAAAGGAAACAAAATTTTTATAATGTCTAACTTGTTTTCGTATGTTTCTCAGTGGCTATATTTATACTTTTTGTTAATACACAGTTGTATGTAATTCAAATGGATCTGTCATGTTTATAAACTCCTTTAAATACTGCATTATTTAATTTCACTGATTTTACAATGCGAGTCAACTCCCTGTATAGCTATCCTATCTCAACTAGCAAAAACCCTTGGTCCTTCCTATTATTGCTTATACTCTGTCTTCAACAAAATTAGAGATAAGGGCAAAATAGTTTCTGACGGATAGCGAGGGGGTTGGGGGTTGAAGGAAGGGGGGGGTAAGGGAAGGGGTGGGGGAAGGGGGAAGAAATGAACCAAACATTGTATGCACATATGAATAAAATAAAAATTAAAAAAATTTTTTTTCACTGATATTTTAGCTAACTATTTAAGGATGAATAACAAAAAATGGATGTTTGCACCAGCTATGGCTATGTTTATGGGCTGTAATTAACTTGTAGTTGGTTAAGAATAAAATGTTCATTAGTTGAACATTTTAAATATACCATTGTGTTTTGAGGCAGAACATGATTGTAAAATGTGCTTTACTATTCACTTACTTTCAGCCTAAAGCTAAATCTAAGCCTCCAAACTCCATGTTTCAATCTAAGGTACTTGCTTTGGTCTCTAGTGATGCTTAAGGTTTTCCATCCTGAAAACTTACTGGTTTAAATAGAACTTCTCTTTACCTGTCACAATTTTCAGGGTCAAGGAACTAGACACACCTGTATGGCTTGTGCTGTGTGTGTGTCCTAGTGTTTCGTTGTGTCTCTGGTCTGCTTCAGAGCAGTGTGGTCAACTACAAGATGTCTCTTATCCCAGTTGGAAGGTCACTAGGAGCACAATGTTTGCTATCTGACCAAAAATGGCTCACATTTTGCCAAAGTTCAAAATGTACTTGGCCTCTCTCAGTCCTCCAGGGATCTTTTCCTTCCTGTTTTGACACTAATATGAAGGTCAGTTAAATCAGGTTCTGGTTGTTATCTGGGACCTAACAATTACATCAATCTCTTGATCTGAGAGACAAGGAGTGTGTGGCAAAGATTATTTAAAGTGGAAAGTGAAAGAAACCTCATCAAGGGATAAACCAGGGCTACAGCAATGCAGTTCAAGAGTACAGTTGCCTGGGGTCTCTCTGGTTTTATGTGGATTGAGCCAGGCTGGTGGAAAAAACCTGGGTGTTTCTGCAAGTGGCCTTATGTCAATTTGAAGACAACCAGATGTTATATAGCTGATTTCTGATTGTGTGTGTTCCTTCCCAAAATTCACTGTGTTAAAACTGTATGCATTACATGCAGGTAATATTAATGTAGCCTTAAGTAGGAAAAACACTTAAAGGGTTACTACAGGTGACCACACATGCTTTCAAAAGTGGTTGGCATTGGTTATCAACTGTTTGCAGGATGTGGGGCCCATTAGCAATGCAGTGTTAACTGTGAAAGGGCCCTTTTGGGGACCAGGGAGGTTTGGATCTCATCTCCCCTGTAGGTCTTCACTTTAACCCTGTATGCCATGGATACCTACATCAAGATGGCCTGTTATCTCCCTGTCCACATACACCCAAGCACACAGTGAGGAGAGTGGCATGAACATGGGGGTCTTGGGTCTGTGGGAGGCACCCTGCCCGCACTTATCTGAGTGTTTATTCGCATCAAGCGAATATTGAGTACAGTCTAGTCCTACTCCCTAGGAAAGAATTCATGCCTCTTCACCCTGCTCTCTGGGCTCTTGTTCTCTGAATGGATGTTATGTTTCCTTAAGAAATGCCTCAATTTGCAGTTGATGAACTTTCTCCACCTATGGCTTGCTTACATTATCCAATGTCATCCTTTGGTCATCCTTTCCACCTGCTTCCCTGAAGTCTCCTGAGGCAAACCTTGAGATGGTGAGCCTCCCTCTTGTGGTTCCATGCTGTGAGAGGTAACAGTTTTGCTGAATATTCTCCAGTCTGTGATCCACAAGACTTTCTTTAGGTTTCAGCAACACATTTATCCTCACCAGGAGTCCTGACTCACTTCCAGTCTGGATAAGGAGTCCTGCACACCTTCTTGGTTTCCCAGCATTGCTGCACATTGTAGCTTTTTATTCCCATAATACCCCTGATTTACAGATTTTAGTTTTCCCATCTGTGTAAAAGCTCTGCTCAGCCGGATGCACATGCAAAATGCATGTGATCCTGGCTACTCAGGAGGCAGCAGTCAGGAGGATTGAGCTTCAAAACCAGTCCCTGACAAATAGTTCCTGAATGCTATCTTGAAAACAGTTGATTCACCAAAAAGTGCTGGTGGAGTTGCTCAAGATGGTAGTAAGAGTGTCTGCCTAGCAAGCATGGGGCCCTGAATTCAAACTAATGCTGCCAAAAATAACAATATAACAATAATAATAACAATAATCAGCTCCAATTGTGATAACTAACTTCACTCCATGATTTAGGGTGACTCTGGTGCCTGGCTCATCTCAGGCACAGATAAAGTGAAATAAGACCTGGGATGATCATCCAAAAACTCAGTGGGCGCTGGTGTTTCAGGAGACTCACTGTTGTCTGGCACTGATATTCTTGGGGCTTGTTAGGGCTGCCCACAGCACACCTACTTCCATGTGGTTCTGCACCAAGGAGGCCACATGGTAGTTGGTGAGTGGCTTCCCACAAAATTAGAGTTCCAAGAGACACAAGTAAAGCTGCAGCCTTACTACATTGGTAGCAATGTGTGTATTTGTCACAAATACATTGTCATTTCCCTTGTGAATACTTCTTTGACTCCTAGTTTATTTCAAAGTATAGTATTTGATTTGCAAATACTGAGGCTTTCTGGATATTGTTTTTTTTCTAGGAGCAGTTGGGCTGGAAGTCAAACCTCATGCTTGCCAGGCAGGTGCTGTACCCACTTGAGTCACCCCACCAGTCTTGTTTGGTTTCAGGGTTAGGGGAATGCTGCCATTAGGAAATAAATTAAGAAGTGCTGATTATGCTTCTGTTCTCTAGAAGAGATTGTAGGGAACTGAGAGAATTTGTTCTGTAATAAATGGTTGAATTTACCTGTGAACTCCTCTGAATCATATACTTTCTGTTTTTGGAAGATTGTTCATTGTTTTTTGAATTCCTTCTTTTTTTGTGTGGTGGTGCTAGGGTTTGATCTCAGAGCCTTGTTCTTGACAGACAGCTGTTCTACTGCTGCCACCCTGCTTGCCCTCAGTTCCTTTAATACAAATGTGTTCATACTGTGTGTTTTAACT